GTGTGTTTCTGTTTTTCGACCACGAAAATGTCGACAAAGTTTGATACTGTCTAATGGGAAGCCTTACCCACTTAACATCGTAAAGATAATGGAAATGAATTTTGTTGATGCTTGTCATGGTTTAAAACACGATTTATGATCCAACCTGACGTTAGCACGATTCACGACCCTTTAAACTCGAGAGGTCACTTAAGTATCTTGATTTCCACCTGATTAAACTCTCCATCACCAACATTACGGATGCTGACTTGCGTTCGTCTTGCACTAAAGTTTCTGCAGGGGACGGTATATAATTGCACCTATGAGAATCTACAATGGTGTTGAATCGTATCTCTAGCTATGCAGTCTTTTGGCTAAGCTAGCACTTGTTCATGAACACAGCTAAAGCGGCTAACCAAGCCAGGTAAATTCCGCAGGCTATCTATAAAACCAGAGATGATTAAGGTTCATTGATATTTTAATACTAGTATATTTGCTTTCTTCATTCTATATAAGAGCTTTGTTTATTAACCAACTTTTCTAGATTTGAATTACTTGTGAAAGAATGTGTCACGATCAGGTGAATGGTTAACCGGATTTGTTATTGACTTGGTTAATATTCATGTTGATGCAAACATCAAAATCAACTTTAACTGGATCCATTTATTTTTATCAGGTAAATTAAAGGGATAGTGCAGGCACATTATATGTAAAGTCTATTTTAACAAGCTTTATTATTAATATGCCTTATTGACATTTGCCCGTAGACTTTCTCTCTCACGTCGACTTATTAAATCATACGATGATAACAGAATCAATATATTATTAATACAAATTGATCTTCACGGCTGATTTATTCTCTCTTACAGGTCTGAGATTTTCATCAGAAAGACTCACCACCGCCTAACCCTCTCCATTGAGACACCAACAAAGCTCTTCACTTTATTGCGTGCCAAAGATAACAACTTGTGGATACGTTGGTAAAAAGTTTTCATTTTCCGTTTGGGAAAATTTGATTCAACGGTTAAATCTCTCCAAACCCAGAAAAGGAAAAAACAGAGAAGAGAATTGAAGGTTAAAACTCCTGTCTGGTTCCTCTCTGATAATAGATGCTCTGTTTAATATTTCCTGTCTCAATCTATATTGTCCTCCAATTCATCATCTTTGATCTGTTGATTCAAATTCTG